GTTTAGGTCTGGAGATATGCTTGGCCAGTCCACAACCTTTACCCTCAACTTCTTTAGCAAGGCAGTGGTCTTCTTGGAGGTGTGTTTGGGGTTGTTATCATGTTGAAATACTGCCCTGCGGCCCAGTCTCCGAAGAGAGGGGGCCATGCTCTGCTTCAGTATGTCACAGTACATGTTGGCATTCATGGTTTCCTCAATGAACTGTAGCTCTTCAGTGCTGGCAGCACTCATGCAGCCCCAGACCATGCTACTCCCTCCACCATGCTTGACTGTAGGCAAGACACACTTGTCTTTGTACTCCTCACCTGGTTGCCGCCACACACGCTTGACACCATCTGAACCAAATAAGTTTATCTTGGTCTCATCAGACCGCAGGACATGGTTCCAGTAATCCATGTCCTTAGTCTTCTTGCCTTCAGCAAACTGTGGGCTTTCTTGTGCATCATTTTTAGAAGGGGCTTCCTCTGGGACAAGCATCATGCAGACCAATTTGATGCAGTGTGCGGCGTATGGTCTGAGCACTGACAGGCTGACCCCCCACCCCTTCAACCTATGCAGCTGGGCAGCACTCATACGTCTGTTTTTCCCAAAGAAAACCTCTGGATATGAGGCTGAGCACGTGCACTCAACTTCTTTGGTCAACCATGGTGAGGCCTGTTCTGAGTGGAACCTGTCCTGTTACCTGCTCAGTTTTAGGGTCTTGGCAATCTTCTTATAGCCTAGGCCATCTTTATGTAGAGCAACAATTCTTTTTTTCAGATCCTCAGAGAGTTCTTTGCCATGAGGTGCCATGTTGAACTTCCAGTGACCAGTATGACAAAGTGAGAGCGATAACACCAAATTTAACACACCTGCTCCCTATTCACACCTGAGACCTTGTAACACTAAGGATTCATATGACACCGGAGAGGGAAAATGGCTAATTGGGCCCAATTTGGACATTTTCACTTAGGGGTATGCTCACTTTTGTTGCCAGCGGTTTAGACATTAATGGCTGTGTGCTGAGTTATTTTGAGCGGACAGCAAATTTACACTGTTATACAAGCTGTACACTCATTACTTTACATTGTAGCAAGGTGTCATTTCTTCAGTGTTGCCACATGAAAAGGTATAATAAAATATTTACAAAAATGTGAGGGGTGTACTCACTTCTGTTTGATACTGTGCGTGTATATACAGTTGTGTTCAAAATAATAGCAGTGTGTTGAAAAAAGTGAATAAAGCTCAAAATCCTTCTAATAGCTTTTATTTCCGTACACACAAATGCATTGGGAACATTACACATTCTATTCCAAATCAAAACATGAAGAAAAATATTTTAAAATTGTGTTGTTCCTCTAAAAAAAATTGAAGAAAAGTGAATATTAGACTGTTAAAAAAAAAAGCAGTGTTTGTATTCTTCTTTACAAACTCAGACATTCACTATATAAACTGAAAAATGTTTGAAGATTTTGCTTTCCTTTGAATTACTTAATTAATATTTAGTTGTATAACCACTGTTTCTGAGAACTGCCGTACATCTGTGCTGCATGGAGTCAACCAACTTCTGGCACCTGTGAACAGGTATTCCAGCCCAGGATGATTGGACTACATTCTAGAGTTCTTCTCTATTTCTTGGTTTTGCCTCAGAAACTGCATTTTTGATGTCACCCCACAAGTTTTCTATTGGATTAAGATCCGGGGATTGGGCTGGCCACTCCATAACGTCATTCTTGTTGGTCTGGAACCAAGATGTTGCACGTTTACTGGTGTGTTTGGGGTCGTTGTCTTGTTGGAACACCCATTTCAAGGGCATTTCCTCTTCAGCATAAGGCAGCATGACCTCTTCAAGTATTCTGATGTATTCAAACTGATCCATGATCCCTGGTATGAGATAAATAGGCCCAACACCGTAGTATGAGAAACATCCCCATATCATGATGCTTGCGCAACCATGCTTCACTGTCTTCACAGTGTACTGTGGCTTGAATTCAGTGTTTGGGGGTCGTCTGACAAACTGTCTCCGGCCACTAGACCAAAAAGAACAATCTTACTTTCATCAGTCCACAAAATGTTGCGCCATTTCTCTTTAGGCCACTCAATGTGCTCTTTGGCAAATTGAAACCTCTTCAGCACATCTTTTTTTCAACAGTGGGACTTTGCGGGGGCTTCTTGCAGATAGCTTGGCTTCACATAGGCGTCTTCTAATTGTAACAGTACTCACAGGTAACTTTAGACCTTCTTTGATCTTCCTGGAGCTGATTGTTGGCCGATTCCTTGCCATTTTGGCTATTCCTCTATCCATTTGAATGGTAGTTTTTTGCTTTCTTCCACGTCTTTCAGGTTTTGGTTGCCATTTTAAAGCATTTGCGATCATTTTAGCTGAGCAGCCTATCATTTTCTGCACTTCTTTATATGTTTTCCCCTCTCCAATCAACTTTTTAATCAAGGTACGCTGTTCTGAACAATGTCTGGAACGACCCATTTTCCTCAGAATTTCAGAGAGAAATGCACTGTAACCAGCATGTACAACATTTGCTGCCTTTCTTCCTTAAATAAGGGCAATAATTGCTACCTGTTTTTCAAAGAATGAATGACCTTACTAATAGAACTCCACACAGCTATTATTTTGAACATGCCCCATTTCAATTAGTGATTCAATTACACAGAATCAGCAGCATGCATGTCATGACTGTTGGGTCTGTTGGATTTCTATTACTCTACTACACCTGCTAGTAAATTATTTGCCATGTAGAAATATCATTTCTACCAAAAACAGTGATTGATCAGGTTAGTGATGTCTGACTGCTATTATTTTGAACACAACTGTATATACAGTGAATCCAGAAAGTATTCACAGCACTTAACTTTTGCTACATTTTGTTATGTTACAGCCTCATTCCAAAAGGGATTAAATAATTTTTTTCCTCAACATTCTACAAACAATACTTCATAATGACAACGTGAAAGAAGTTCATTTTGAAATGTTTGCAATTTATTAAAAATGAAAAATGAAAAATAGTTGCTCAATATTTTGTTGAAGCACCTTTAGCACCAATTACAGCCTCAAGTCTTTTTGAGTATGATGCTACAAGCTTGGCACACCTATTTTCGGTCAATTTCTCCCATTCTTTGCAGTACCTCTCAAGCTCCATCTGGTTGGATGGGGAGCGTCGGTGCACAGCTATTTTCAGATCTCTCCAGAGATGTTCAATTGGGTTCAAGTCTGGGCTTTGGCTGGGCCACTCCAGGACATTCACAGAGTTGGCCCGTAGCCACTCCTTTGTTATGTGGGCTGTGTGCTTAGGGTTGCTGTCCTGTTAAAAGATGAACTGTAGTCCCGGTCTAAAGTCCAGAATGCTCTGGAACATCAAGGCTGTCTCTGTACATTGCTGCATTCATCTTTCCTTCTATCCTGACTAGTCTCCCAGGTCCTGCTGCTGAAAAATATCCCCACAGCATGATGCTGCCACCACCGTGCTTCACTATAGGGATGGTATTGGCCAGGTGGTGAGCGGTGCCTGGTTTTCTTGAGACATGACCCTTGGCATTCAGGCCAAAGAGTTCAATCTTTGTTTCATCAGACCAGAGAGTTTTGTTTCTCATGGTCTGAGAGTCCCTCAGGTGCCTTTTGGCAAACTCCAGGCGGGCTGCCATTTTCCTTTTACTGAGGAGTGGCTTCCATCTGGTCACTCTAACATACAGGCCTGATTGGTGGAGTGCTGCAGAGATTGTTGTTCTTCTGGAAGGTTCTCCTCTCTCCACAGAGAAATGCTGGAGCTCTTTCAGAGTGACCATTAGGTGCTTGGTTATCTCCCTGGCTAAGGCCCTTTTCCCTCGATCGCTCCTTGTGGCCAAGCCGCCCACTCTAGGAAGATTCCTGGTGGTTCCAAACTTCTTCCATTTACAGATGATGGAGGCCACTGTTCTCATTGTGACCTTCAATACTGCAGAAATTTTTCTGTACCTTTCCCCAGATCTGTGCCTTGATACAATCCTGTCTCGGACGTCTACGGACAATTCCTTGGACTTCATGGCTTGGTTTGTGCTCTGACATGCACTGTTAACTGTGGGTTCTTATATAGACAGGTTTATGCCTTTCCTAATCATGTCCAATCAACTGAAAGTTGTGGAAACATCTCAAGGATGATCAGTGGGAACAAGATGCACCAGAGCTCAATTTTGAATGTCATGGCAAAGGCTGTGAATACTTATGTACATGTGTTTTGTTTTGTTTTTTTTTTTTCGTTTTTTATTTGTAATAAATTGCAAACATTAAAAAAAGGAACTTTGTTCATGTTGTCATTATGGGGTATTGTTTTTAGAATGTTGAGGAAAAAATGAATTTAATCCATTTTGGAATAAGACTGTAACATAACAAAATGTGGCAAAAGGTAAGCGCTGTGAATACTTTCTGGATGCACTGTGTATGTGTATGTGTGTGTGTGTGTGTATATATATTTATATAAATATATATGTATGTGTGTGTTTGGCTTTTTTTATTACAAGGCACTGGCTAGCAAGATTGTGGATGGTGTATACCAAAGATTGAACATGCTGCTGCAAGTTTTCAAACACATATTTCACTTCTGTTATATCCTGTATCATGATGGAACTGACATCCACATGAATCTCCTCAAGGCTGAGTTAGTTATTACTAACCCTGCAAGTGTCTGCACAACATCTGCGTTATGATTTTGTTTGTGCCCTAGATTGCTAAATGCTGGGTTTTTTTTTCTGTACAACCATATACAGTATATCTGCAACCCTAGTATTTACAATAATCTGAATCTCTGCTATTAAATTCTCACAAGCCTGACCTTTCAGGGATAGCTGTTATTTGTACTATTTTTACTTGTATTTGCTTCCTCTTCTTAGTGTCTGGCTAGAAATCTCCAGGCATGCATTCACGTGGCTTCTGAAAGAGGGCAAACTGCTCACTTAAAAGCCTGTAGTATTTTTGTATGTAATCTTGATAGCACTCTTGTAGTTTGACAGCTTTCTCAACACAGAGTTGAGGCCAGGGGCGGACTGACAACTCATTGGGCCCCCGGGCAATAGGGGATAATGGGGCCCCTGTGTCCTTGCCCAAACTAAAAAAAGCCTATGAAAAAGGTACGAGGGGCATCTCTTGGGGCCCCCTACTGACCTCGGGCAGTGCCCGAGTTTCCAAATGGTCAGTCCGCCCCTGGTTGAGGCAGAAGATAAAACAGCCTCTTTGAAGGCTTCCAGCCTGAGAGTAAGTTGACACCTTTGCTCTAGGAGGGAGAGAATACAGGGACATGCAATTATTTTTGAGAGGTAAGGCTGCCCTATTATAACAATTAGAGAGTGAATATTCCAACTATAATACATGCTTATTTGTGATTGTTTGTCTTAAATATATATCATACTTTTACTATGTAATGAACACAATAAAACTTATGCAGGCCATAGATGGGTAGTTTATCGGCCGAATTTTCATCCGCACGAAAAATCGGCCGATAATCACACCGTTAGTGGAGCCAGCCCGCCGGCCGTTTTTCGCGGTTCTCCTCAATTATTTTTATCGGTCATGCTGGAAAATCCACGAAAAACGGACGTTTTTCGTGGACATGGGTGGCAGCATGGGCAACGGGGCCGACCGATTTTTTGTTTATCGGCCCGTCTATGGCCTGCCTTAGCAGTTCCCTTGTAAGCAAGTGTGTTCTAATGGATTTCAGTTTATGGTGTTTCCTCTTTCTACTGTAGATTCTATTATAATATTTGTTGAAGATGCAAGTATTTTCCTTCTAGTTTCTTTATAATTATCTCCATCATTTCTATAACCTTCAAGGAATTCATTGGGAAAAAAAGTACTTGTTTATTGTTTAGAACCTTTATTGAACAAGATGAGACAGCTAAGAAGATTAAAAGATAAAGGCTTATTTAAAATAAAGTGTATTTTAGGCCAATTGATAGCCCCTGCGTGGGTGTGTTTTGTTGCCTCTGTTTTATACTGTTTAAAATTAATAAAAACCATTGAAATACAAAGTGTATTTTAGGCAAAACCTTGTTTGTTATTAAAGTTTTCCCCAGGAAAAAAGGTAAGGGAAATCTTCCAATAGGGAGACCTGTTTTGGGGAAAACTGTCCCTCACTTAAGAAGCTTTCCTCTAACTTCCTGTTCCTGCCTGAGTCAGATAGCGAATGGAAATCGCCTCAATGGTACGGAGACAGTAAACAATAAACTTGTAGGGTTTCTAATCTTTCTCTACTCTATAAAAAATAAAAAAAAAGTTTTGGCTATACATACTGTCATGATAAGGCTCTAGTTCCTTTGCTGTCATGCTCATTCTATGATTTCTCTTGTTAGTTTATCACTGACCCAGAACAAGTTTGCAGTGAGTGAAGGCAGAAGTTCCAACTTCATGACAGCCAAATGCCCCCCCTTTAATATTGCTATCATGACATACTTTATTATGTAAACTTACGCTTGTCCTGCTGTGAGCCAACCTCACTATGCACTCCAGAAATGATGCCTGAGATTGTTAATACTTCATACATTCTTGGCACTTTCTTTGAAGAACACTCTTTCCCAGGGGTAGGTGCTGAAAAGGTATACAGTACTGTACAAATGAGTGAGGCATCAGTAGAATCTGCCATTCTTAGGAGATCTAATCCTTACATTGTGCCTTATAGAACACATTGTGAGTTGGTGTATATTTGGTTGCTGTACATTTATGTTCTTAGTTATTTTGTTAAAAATATTATTATTGAAAACCTTACACGTAATAATGGAGTCAAAGGGGAGTAAGTTAGGAGAAAGGACATCAGTTACCTCTTTTTCATGCTACATTAATTCTCAGTTTATGAATACATGCTGATTCATGTGAGCAGAGCTAAATAGAAATGTCCTAAAATGTAAATTCCCATAATGCTTAGAGGCATTAGAATAATAAGGAATCCAGCTCTTTAGACACTTGCTGCCAATGATTTTTTTCTGTTTCAGTGTCCATGATCACGTGAGCACACATTTGCAAAAGTAATACTGGTTAGAATTTATGTTCTACATTCACTGTTTGTGGAGGAAACATTATGTCCATCATCAAGTTATAGAAATATAGTTTTCACAACTACAACATTTTTTTTTTTTATCTGTTTTAAATGCATTTTATGTACAGTCACTTTTTCCCTTGCCAAAATTTCTTTCAAGCCATGCAATGTTAAATGTTTTGGCTATTTCCTTGAGGTGTTCTATAGGTTAAATACCTGCAGCTGCAGACCACACCATGCAGGTCAGACTTTTGATGTCAACATGTAGACAGATGTTTGGATGCTTTCCATTATTAAGTTTTCTTTCCAACTACACTGGCGTTTCATTTTTTGTTATTTGCTCTGCATGATGTAGGTCTTTCCCTGCAACCTTCCTTGTTAAAAGTATATGAAAACTATGCTAAACAGTGTAACATTTTACCATTTTGTATGTTCTTCTGAAGGTATAAATGTGATGCAACAAAAGGATTGGAATACATCTGACAATAAAATACCCAGTGTTGGTAGTCTTGGTGGTATGAATAGCTATGCATCTGCAGTGAATGCTAGTTTTATCAGATTGTTAGCACAAGAACTGTCCTGGAATACAATCATACCAGTCCATTAGGTGTTTCTGAAAACTGTCTTGTCAAATAAATCTTTATGGATTTGAAATGTCAAATTAGCGACCATAATAAGTAATTTAGTCATTTTGAAGTTACACCACCTGGTGCAGGTGACATTAAGTTTGGAGAATAATATTTTTCAACCCATTTTAAACAAGCTGCATGACATTTTGGAAATTAGCACATACCATATACACTGCTTAAAAAATTTTGAAAATGTTGTTTGGATTATTATTATTATACAGGATTTATAGAGCGCCAACAGTTTGCTCAGCACTTTGCAATATAAAGGGAGACAATACAGCAACAATACAGTTCAATACAAGAGGGAAAGGAGGGCCTTGCTCCTTGGAGCTTACAATCTAGGAGGGGAGGAGCTAGTGGTACAAAAGGTAGTAACTGTGGGGGATGGACTGGTTGGTAGAGTAGAAGATTCCATTATTAGCTGAGGGCAGGATAGGCTTCCCTGAAGAGATAGGTTTTCAGAGATCGCCTAAAAGTGAGCAGAGTAGGCGATAGTCTACATACAGTCTAGGATACAGTAAGGAAAACTTTTTTTTCTTCTTGCCCTGAGAGGTAGTGAGGAACATGTGCCCAGTAAAGAAACAGGCAACAATAAAGCCTGATAAAGGCTCTAACCTTATCCAAAATTAGATAAAAACATAAAACAATAAAATCATTTTACCTGGAGTTTGAATACAGCATACTAATTGTATGCTAGTGTGGACACATAACACTACCTTAAAGCAGAGTTCCAGGCGTGACCATGCTGGGAATGGGCATGCATGCCAAGCCTTTGAGGCAGTCTTCCCTGACACTAGAACAACTAACTAAAATTAAATTGACCCAACGCTATCAGATCTCTTTCACATGGGAGGCCCACAACCACCCACCTGAAGTCTAAAAACACAGAGGGGGATATTCAAATGCTTTGCATCGTGGCAAATTTACACAGCATGTTGTGTTTTCAGATGACAAGGCCTGTCAAACTCAACTATTCAAGTCAACAGGGTGAAGCTGCAAGTGCAAACCAATTGCTAGCCCTATTGTAAGTTGCTGAAACAGGCATTCCTGAGGTAGTAGGATCACTTCCTGAACATCTAACAGTGACTGCTTAACCGCATTCTGAAAAGTGTGGATTAGGGTGAATCTAGCTCTACAGTTTCCCTTAAGCTGCAGAATACTGTACATCGTAAGGTAGTAATGGCAACAACCATTATAGAATTTGGAAAAAGGACTGGATGATTTTCTTTCAACAAATAATATCCACCATTCTAAAACTTTAAGCTAAAAAAGCAATATGTTTATCCTAGGATTATATTTTTTCCACCAGTTTTACAGAGATTGTATTCTTTATTTTGGACCAAAGATGCCGAAGATGTGCAAGACTGAACACGATGAACATCAGTCTTTTTTAACCTTCTTAGCTGTGTGACTGTATGAATAAAAGTCAGTTTAATTTACTGAACATTAAATATTAATACTTGATCATCCTTTTGTTCCCTCTAGTGAGCCACCTGTATGGGTTTGGTTTGATGGATGCAGAAGCAATGGTGGTAGAAGCAGAAAAATGGACAACAGTTCCTGCACAGCATATATGTGTAGAAAACACTGACCGGCAGATTAAGTAAGATGTTGTCACTCCTTTTATGTATTCAGTTCACAATAGTTCAGTTTGACCTCCCGTACATCTACCCCCATTAGCTTTTCATTTTCATTGGACAATGCACACAAATGTTTATTGTATATTGTATGTATTTCCATTAATAAAAATTGTATGTATCAAATATGCCATGCTAAATGCAGATAAATCAATCCTATCCAGTGATCAGATCATATCAATACTACATTACATATGCACATATACCTTCAAATGCAATAATACATAACAAAGTGTACCACATAAATTAAACTAATCAGCAAATTGTGTGTAACAATCTAAACAAAATCAAAACACAATAACAAATTACCAATTACAGATATAGAAAATCAAAAAACTTGAAGGCAATTTATTATATGAATGTATCGGTACAAGAACAATCTTGTCATGGACAAGTCTGGGACCACTGTGGGAGGTTGAGGGGCACTGCCAGCCACTATGGGAGGTTGGGGGACACTATGGGAGTCGGAAGGCACTGTGGGTGGGCTAAGGAAACTGCAGCTGGCTGGAGGCATTGAAAGGGAGGTTGTGGCCCAGGCCTGGTAGGAAACCACTGTACTTTTACCAGCACTGGTATTTAAAATCATTCTCTACATTTCTATTGAATGATTTGTGAAACAAAAATTATTCAAAGAATGAAAAGTGCATTTTTGCAAATGTATTATTTCAAATGTAGCAAGCTTATATGTTATATTCTTTTCATCATGGTACTTTATTACCTTATATTCATTATTCCTCGTTTGTCAGTAATGCAAGCATATATTCCATGCATTAATAGGTTTTTAATTGTCATCTTTGTACAATA